GAGGGCTAGACGAATCTATACTAAGGATGCAATCAATATCAAACTTGAAAGACTATGGCAGATACTGATCAACGATGGACACCCACCTAAACTCATTGAGAAAAATCTAGAGCCGAAACAACAACGTGAAAGTGTCCTTAGTACCAGAGACTTTCTTTGTAAACATTCAGTTTAAAGGAGATACTGCAGCAGAAATTCACAGGAATAGACTTTCGAGATTTTCGGGAAATACATTCTGTTAGGTTAAACTTCGTTTTATTTTCTCTAGTAGACCTACAACTCGCAGTTGTGTGGAGGATAAGCTCTCGCTTTAGGGTCGAATCAATGTGGATCTACCACTTACTTGGCCATATGGAGCAGATTGTTGGCTGAACAAGGCGGGTTCTTTTGAAATGCGTCTCCAAACACTACTCTGCCTGGATTTTTAAAGGACCATAAAAGTCAAAGGCACAATCTTGGAGGACATAGTTAATTCTAGTGACACCGCCTCACAAGAAGCCTCTTTTAAATTCATAATCAGGAAAGTCGGTTCAAGGGGACTCCAAACTTATGTACAGCAGACGCTATAGCTATCTACCAGTTCAGGTCTAACCATAGCGTACAAAAACAGTATGTTCAGTCTTCCATTCTGCCATGGTATAAACCTTCCCTTCCATCTTCCATAATCTATGGTTTATTTCTAATTTCTGCTCCTTCCCAATTATTTTCAGAAATCATGAACCGACCAATGTCGGAGCATCATTGAAAAACTGGGAGCATTAAACCGCCGTTTCGTCCTAGTACAGGATCCCCCGGTAATGCGTACCCGCGATACCGCAAGTGGGGTTCAAACCTAGCAACCTCAGCCACCTGAGGAGTTCGATACTAGGACGAAACGGTTATTTGGTGCTTCCAGGTTTTTAATGGTGGTCGGACATTGATCGGTTCATGATTTCAATGAAATTCAACAATCTCCAAACTGAATATTTCCAGAAATATTAATAAGCAATTATTAGGAATTTTAATTAATAGCTATCAAATGAAAAATCATATCCACCCTAACATTTTCCATTAGCCAATTATTACACAACTTCCTAGCAATATCTAATTTTCGTAAACAACTAATGACCAGATACCACTTCCGTCTTTTTTAATTGCTCAACACTTTTGTTTCACAACAGGCTATTTTTAGCAAATAAATTAGTTGTAAAAACGGTTGTACAGCTTAAGAAAATGAAATCTAATAAAAGAAAACTTTCCACGTGGTACGTGTCTTTATTCTTCTTTATGAAACAATGGGTCACTTTTATTAATTGCAAAAGCTGCTTACACTTTGAAACATTATTATTGTATTTCCTACATACTGATCTCCTACAAAAGCTGTTTTCTAATTGACTAAATAACTGGCTGGAAAGCAGTCGCCGACGTTTTAAGCTCAGAATATATTTCACATGTTTTCTACTTTTGATTATTTAATATGACTTTAGACAAACAACCTTGAGTGGCTGTAGCTACTACTCGTGAAAATCTGATGGGCAATCCTTAAGTTAAACATACTTTAAACTCAAGTACATTATTGTAATCTCCAAAACTTCATGATAGTATTGATGAAAAAATCAATCTTTATTAAAAAAAACTTCAAAATGCTTTTATTTAGCAGGTAATTAAATTTCACAAGTTGAAAAAAGCAATTTAAACTACAAAGCACTCAACTGTCTTCTAGTTGTACATCCAACGCATGGAGTCCAAGTAAGAATCTCTACAAACATAAGGATTTGTTTCGAAATTCTATAAGTTTACCAGATTGATTGATTATCTATAGTTAGAACTACTGTTGGTTCACTTCCACGAAAAAAACTCTAACAGTTGTTCAGTGGGCAGAATTTCCATGACTGGTCAGTTTGATAAATGTCATAATCTACGACTGATGACATCACAACATAAGGTCCTAGTACGCTGGATGGTATCGATGATAGCTACACACTTTCAACAAAAGCTAACATATCTATTACTCATTACACAGAAGACCCGTACTTGAAATAAGGCCTTCAGAACCATATAATAAGAGAGAATGCATTTTGGAACATAGTACTCTGTGAATTTGATCCCCGATATCCACACTAAAGCAGTAAATACCCAGTATGTTTATAGTGGATCTAAACAAAACTTGCCTAAGGGTAACTTACGACTCCTGACTGATGATCAGCTATGGAACGGGTTAACACCCCAAATTATTTGTGATACCCGCTGGTCGGGAACATAAGATCAGTACGGCTACTCCAAAACACAAATCTTGTAAGAAACATTTGTTTGGTAGAGACCAAAGATGAGCCCATATTCAAACTAATCCACTAAAATACCAATAACGTTCAGTGATTACTTAAGTTTATGAATGTGAAAAAACACTTGAAAGAAACATCACTGTGAATTAATTAAGAGAGGTAAAATGAAGGCCAAACGAACGAAACTCACGCTAAATTAATACAAATGAAATTCAAATGGACAGAAACCACACATTGAATTAATTTGTGAAAATAAAAGTGCACCGAAAGTTAACTGAACGAAAATTACCATGAACAAACGTGAATTTTAAAACTGATTTTATTAGAATAAGTTGTATTTGAGTGCTTAACACCATTCTTTACTGAATACCGGACTACTTACAGGTTTGCCAAAACTTTTGCAATTCTCTCCCCATTATATTTTAGACATACCCGACTTATGATATTTAGATGACGTTGTTTTCTCATTTTATTATGGATATGTTGGAGAACGTATAGAATTTATTTTATGATGGCGAGAGAACCTTGAAATATTTAGATGTAGACTGTGACCGACTATTACTAAGCGGAGGTCTAATCATCCGTTGACGTAGAAAATCGCTGCCAATACTTGAAGGATTTGATTGATGAACAGGGGCAATACCTGCACATTGGTTGTTTGTAGGTAGCACAGAAGCCAATGAGTCTTATTTTCAGAAAATTATATTAACAAATTTCCTTACTAGCCAGCTAGTGGAGAAAAATGTTAATATTAGGCGAGTAAGAGTATCTACAAATTGACTTCATTTTGTATATAGGACCAGGAACCTCGTATAATTGGGCTAGTCAGTTTTTGTTAAACTGATTACACTTAAATTAGTTGCATTGACGTAATCGTGACTGTTTGTTTTCCCCTTAAATAAGATATCATTTTACTAGTTCCACTCAGTTTTCGCATGATCAATGAGCAGACAATAGACGTCTTAACTAATTGGTATTATAATTGGATTTATTTTAACGATGCTGTCTTTTGTGCATCATACAACTACAAAAGCAATTATCCCAACTTTCGTTTTTGATGCCTTATTTGGTTTCATTGACAGTTTTAGTAGATATGTGAAACGAGTTTCGGCATTGTATTGTCGAGTTACTGTAGTTATTTTTGTGGGTAGTGCGAGTGGATTTGATAACAAATTCACTTTAGAAGTCATGCTCAAATCCCATGTATTTGTTGTGCGATCAGGATAATGTAAATAAGCCCTTTAACTGGATCATCTGAACCAAATAAAGGCGAATGAATAAAAGCCTAATAAGTGGGTTATAATTATATTTGTAAGTAATATCAACTTTACATTATTTTGCCACTAACTTTTGGAGCTAGTGAAATTATCTTAGCGATATAAATGGCGAGATCTTTCTCTACACATATTTACTAAATGGTGCTTATAAAAAGGTGGTCTTGTACATGTCATTACTTAGCTCAAAAAGTTTAAGATTCTTACAGGTAATTATTCATCGAGTTACAAACATTACGGATCAGCAATACATTAAGTGGTTAGCTACAAACACTTTCACATAGCCATAGTAGCCTGGAATTTACGGGATAACAATTCTTTGTGAAATGTTAGTTACAAGATACGGTTTACTAGTGTGATAACCTTTGTTACATAGTTACGATGACATTCATGACCACTTTCCGAAAGATCGTAATAATATTACCTACAGATCGAGATCAAGACCATCATTGAATGCAGACCAACAGATATTAGAATCCTCTGAAGGGTGACAACCATTGATGAGAACAGGCGAACACGTCCCCGAATAAATTGTCAGGAGCCGAGATGCATCGCACAAAATACAGAGACTGAAACTTCACGTAAATTTTCAATCAAACTGAGTACAAATACGAACTACAAATACTTACATACGCCGTCACTTTCTATACACTGAGCTACGGGAGTCGTATATCACTTCTATTTTAGTCCTTTTTATATTTTAACTGTTATGTAACGCAAACAAGCAGCAAACTTCTGTAACAAGCATACTTCATATCAAAAATGAATTTTATTGAGTGTACTTCAATAATTTGCCTCCTAAAAGTTATTCGGACGATTGAAATAAACAAGACTTTCCCTCCTACCCAATACGAGATTAATTTTGAAATCAACTACTGGTAGATATACTAGTATGGAAAAATAGTTCACGACTTATTGCCCTGTATAATGTTAAGGGATAAAAAGCAGCATAAAGACATGACAAACCAACTTATATTGTCCTTTAGGTGGTAACTGGAGCACTTTATTAGACCCAACATACAGGCTTCCTAATAAGATGCAGCATAAACAACTTGATTTCTTTGCTTACTAAAGTTGTTGGGATGCTTACAACCACTAATTGCATGTGACTTGCGATCGCAGTTACGGTGGGCACATTTCACGGAATACATTGTTAAAATCTCAAGCTTACCAATAATAAAAGTTTGACCGATAATGGAATGCACAGACTGGTCTGGGATCCAATATCTCCTTTATCCACTTACAATAGCCAATATGGGGTGTCATTAACGGCAGCTGCCAATGATAAAATAAAAATACGTAAGGAAATAATTATATTCAGATAAGCAGCAGCAAGTCCAGAGCAGCCTATTGATTTAGTCGTAAAATGACAATCTATTTTATAAAGGTCAATGTACATATCACTTTAGGTCATTTAGAGAGGATAACAATGTTTGACAAAGGTGAGAGATTATAAAACTCTGGACTAATTTTTCTTCGAACTTCCCAAAGGCTTTCCTTTATCTTTACCCCTCAATTTAACTCCCAGAGCCCTCTCTAGTTTCGAAATAATAGCTTGGTTTTTTACTGCACGACCTTGTTCGTACTCTGCAATTACCTGCAGCAATGAGCAAACACTGAATATAATACCTGTTGTTTTTCGTTAATTTTGGTAGCCAAATCTTTCTGTGTCAAGTTTTTCTCCTGCCTTGCCTGCATTATAATCTTACCAACATCCATGTCAACCAAATCATTGTGCAAATCCTCTGTATCCTCCTCTAGTTTAGCTGTGTTTTTCTCGATAGTCCGCTGCTTGTTTTGACCAGCAGCCCATCGTTTGTGAGTTTCAATGTGATCACCACGGCGTTGTGCCGCACTAAAAGACTATATTTCTAAAATATCAGCATGGTAAACAAAGTTACGGAATTCGACTTAAGCGTCACTGTACGGACACCCTCCATCGACAAATAATGCACAACTACATTTACGAAAATTATAACAATTGCGAAGGTCACACTTGTAAGAGCGGCTATTCCAACAGTTGCAATACATAATGCAGGTTACTGATGTCTAGGATTTTTGGAAACAGGATGTAAGTGGCACCGTAATTGATCGAAGCATTCTAAATTAGTGGAGGTGAAAGTTCAACTCGTTATTTTTAGTATTGTATGCAAAAGTAATCCGGTTTCTGTTCAAATTTTTTCAGGTACTTGTGCAAATGATAAAATTGATCTTGCAATGGTTTTCCGCCTCTAGAAACACTGAAGAAACTGGATACAAACTTAGGTATTTGAAATCAACACAGTTCGTGTTTGGAAAAGTTAAAATGGGCGTTGGTCTTACGAATACTCCAAAGGGAGAAATTTTAGTATGTAGGTGTAACTAAGAAGCGGTATTTAAAGCGCGTTCTACAGTACAGTCCCCACTTCAGACATAGCGAAATAACTAGTCAATTTTCTTAGATACATATATTTCTGCTTTTCGAGACGGAAAATACTAATATTTCCGTATAGCTGTCACTTTATCGCGCATAGAGTAACTCAAGGTTTTCCGGGTTTGACGTCAATTCAGGTCCATCAGCAAGCTTTCCTGCCTTAACATATGTGTTACCTAACACATATCAAACTCATATCTCTATGATCCTTAAAATCGTTACTTTTTAATACTCTTGACCTCCGCAACCGAAAATACGGCTCGTTAGCATTTGGTTTCGCCTCAGTTTCCGACACTGACTTACAATCGGTGCATCACTATAATTAGAGATTTATTCTATGATGATATTCCAGAATAATAGGTCTACATAGTTTTACTAGCATCGACAAGATAGCAACAATTTCGAACTTCCTACGATAGCTTCACTCTACCGGAACAATAGTTTTTAGTTGCCCGTGGTCTGATTTTGTTTTCAGATAAGTGAATGAAAGCAAAAATGGCTCAATAGTCACACGCCGTTTGGTTGTCAAACCTGTCCAAAAGTCAGGGGAATCACTCCGCCCTGTTTTCAGAGTAAAAAGAATTTGCGAAACTCCGAACAAACATGTATTAAAACTGATCGTAGAGCAGACCATAGACGGTCTCCTACTCGCTTGGCTTAGTTTTCAGTAGAGACGATGGACAACTCCACCTGTAGCTCTTCTGGAGTGGCTGGCGATCCCAAGCCTGGGTAAAGAAGGAGGGTTGGGCATGAAGTCGGCAACCCCATCCCATAGAAAAAATCTCGCTAAAGAGCTCCAACCAGAATAAACCAATTAAACCATTTAAACTCTCCCCTCCGAGTTCCAGGAAGATTTTTGGCGCCTCAGGATGAAAGCTGACATTCTTCGAAAGTCACGAGACCGATGTCCCTTCTAACAACCAGAGCAACAATTTTTATAGGTACATGATACGTCCGGACAATGTGGAAGCCGGAAAAACCAGTCAAGTCGCAACGGAAATGAGGAGATACAAATTGGCAGTGCTCGGAATCAACGAAACCCATTGTACCTAAGCTGGACAGCAAAGGATAGATACGGGAGAGGTGCTGCTATACTCCGGTCACGAAGAGAAAAGTGCTCCACACATCCCGGAAATTGCTTTGATTCTGCCCAAAGAAGCGGGTAAAGCAGTTCTAGGATGGGAATGTTATAGACTCATGATCATCAAAACATCCTTCAAAAGAAAGAATGAAGCAAATGTAATGAATGTTATGTGCCGACCAATGATAGCAATGACGACGATGATGATCAGTTCTACGAGAGGCCGCGACTGATCATGACGAAGCGCACAGGAAACGACCTAACTGTCTTGATGGGATATCCAAACGCTAAGTTGCAAAGGACAACAACGGTTGTGAAGATATCATGGCACGATATGGACTAGGAGAGAGAAGCGAAAATGGTGAAAGATTTGCAAATCTATGTACATTCCACATATTGATTATAGGTGGCATAATATTCCCATAAAAAGCTACATGTCTCACCGGAACACACCACGGAGAACCAAATCGATCATATTTGGATCATTAGAAAATTTATATGGTCAGTGGAAGGCGTGAGAACCACGAGTGAGGGTGACATAGCTTCAGATCACCACCTGGTTGTAGCCAAGATAAAACTTACGCTACAAAACACTAAACAGCTGGGGAAACAGCAGTACAAATGTTGAATACAGCCTTCCTCGAAGATACTAAAGAAATCAACTAATTCAGGATGACTCAAAACAACAGGCTCCAAGTCTTACAGGATCTATTGAAAAAAGAAACTAAAGGGAGGACAACTAGAAAGCAACCAAAGAAGCACTAATTTCAACATGTCAGGAGGTTCTGGGTCACAAGAAGCATCGTCGTAAAGAATGGATTTCTATGGAAACGTTGGACAAGATTCGCGAATAAAAGAACAAGGAAACAACAATCAAGAACAGCCGAACACGAGCAACGAAAGTCAAGGCATAGGCTGAGTAAACAGAAGCATTAAATCTGACAAACAGAAATACGTGGACGTACTAGCAACGACGGTGGAATAAGCTGCAGGAGAAGGAAATATGAAACAGCTTTACGATACAACGAATAAACTAGCAGGGAAATACAGTAAACCAGAGAGACCGGTCAAAGACAAAGAAGGCAGGCCAATCACTGAAATTCAACAACAGCGGAACAGATGGGTAGAATACTTCGAGGAACTCCCGCTCCAATGAATCTACCGTACACACAGATCTTGCTATAAATGTCAATCCATCGACGACCGAAGAAATCAGGATGGCCATCAGACAAATCAAGGGTGGGAAAACAACAGGACCTGACAACATACCAGCTGAAGCACTGAAGTCAAGATCGAAGTAACTACAAACATGCTTTACCTTCTATTCAAAAAGATTTGGGAGAAGGAACAAGTGCCAATGGACTGGAAAGAAGGACACCTCATCAAGATTCCAAATAAAGATCTGAGGAAATTTGAAAACTGCAGAGGCATCACACTACTGCCAGTACCAAGAAAAGCTTTCAACAGAGTGTTGCTGCACCAGGTGGAAGACGCAGTAGACGCCGAACTTCGAGATCAACAAGATGGATTCCGTTAGGATCAGTCGTGCACAGACCAAATCGCGTTGCTATGGATCATTGTTGAACAGTCGGTTGAGTGAAACTCGTCACTATACATCAACTTCACTGACTATGAGAAGGCGTTTGATTGTGTATATAGGAAAAGGTTATGGAGACTTCATCGATCCTATGGAGTTCCCGAGAAGATTATCAACATTATCCGGAACTCATACGATGGACTATAGTGCAACGAGTGCATGGAGGACAGCTGAGAGCTGTATTCCAAGTAAGGACCGGAGTCAGACAAGGCTGTCTACTCTCTCCATTCCTCTTCTGGTGGTTGACTGGATTGTGAAAACCTCGACAACTGAGGTAAAACACGGGACGCAGTGGACATCTCGGAACCAGTTAGACGATTTGGGCTTCGCAGATGACCTAACCCTCCTATCCCATACACTCAAACAAATGCAGATGAAGACAACGTCTTTACACGTAACATCTTTATAAACGAAGTATGCTGTCCCAGTCAAATCAAAAGTTAGAAATGAAGGAGTTCAAAAACATATGATATAGCAAGAAGCGATTGTTCTAAACTGACTTAGCGTTGTAGAGGATGCACAGCAAGGCGTACCCACTCGTGGTCTGGTGTGGATGCGTGACCGAGTGCCTTCAGTTAGGTGCGTCCTGTAAAAGTGATGATTTATTTTCAGAATGGGTTTTGTGGAGATTTTAGAAATTTCACAGATTGAAATCATGAGTCAGTTGAAGCTCGACCACTATTGAAAACCTGGAAGCACTGGACGGCCGTTTCATCCTAGTATGGGACTCCTCAGCAGTGCGCATCCACGATCCCGCACCACGCGGGGCTCGAACCCAGGACCTACTGGCTTCGCGCGCGAGCACTTAACCACTAGACCACTGAGCCGGCATCCAACGGTGTTAATGTCTAACTTCAACCAATCCACGAAGTTGCGCCACCGTACACCATTGTCTTCAGTGAGCTCCTATCTCACAACAGACCTGTCGTCGTCGAATAAACAAAAATAAAGCACTGAAGATTAACAAAACTTGACAGACAGTAGCACAGAACAAACTGCACTGAGCTGAGATTGTTACTGACCCCAAGTTTTATGCTAAAAATGACCTTTCATGGTATAGATAACTATAAAGAAATCATAACAAAAGATCAAAATTTTTTGTAAGCAATGATAAATGGTGGCTAGCAGTGGAATCCAGGATGCGCGTTTCGTCCTATTTGGGACTCGTCAGCTGGATGTACTTGCATCTCAGAACTGATGTTTACTCTGGGACTCAAACCCAGTACCAATCACTTCAAACGCCATCGCGTTATCCACTCAGCTACGGAGTCCCGATAGCCACTTGCTTGTGCAATGGGATAGATGCAGGTACATCCAGCTGACGAGTCCCAAGTAGGGCGAAACGCGCATCCTGGATTCCAATTCTAGCCACTATTCATCATTGCTTCAAAAAGCTTGTGAATTAAGGCAATATCGAGGCGTACGCACAGTATGCACATATGCTAATAACAGACCAATCAATTGCAGTCGTAAACCTCAGTGGGAAGTTACAAGCCAAACAATACCAAGTGAAAAGAACAAAATGACTATAAAAAACATGTTATCATTTATCATTCACTTGAAAAGCTTTTTAGTAGAACTTGCTTGTAAATTTGTTGAAATGCTAAACACGAATTTATCAACCTCCACGATCTTAAGACCATCCAGTGGGAATGTTATGACATCATCCTTTGAATTGATAGTTAATATCCAATCCTGAAATATCTTTACCAAATAAAATGAAGTGAACTGAGGTGCAAAGTGGAATATCGTAGGAATTAGTTTCGATACGTCGATGTGTGACTTGTCAATTCACACGTGTCGCTGAGTATCAGTAATTCTTCATGAATTCAATACTGGTTGTTGTTTG